CCAAAAGAGAAAAAGTAATCAGTTTTGGAAGAGGGCGTCCTATCTGTTGCCATGGATCTGAGATGGTTCCTGTTCTGCTGTTCACAGGATAAGGTAAAGTGGCGCGGTGCGGTATGGTCAGAACGGTCAAGGGTAAAAAGTTTCCAATTTAGCAAGAGGGCGCCATTCATGCCTTATTACAGAATTTGCACGCGTAAATCGCGGAGAACGCTATCTTGTGTTTATAAGATCTTTGGTATATCCAGACGCAAAAGGCGCCCTTCCTTTTCCACTAATGGAGGAAAACTTTTTCACTAAGAATGCGTCCGGCCATATGATTCTGCGCTGTACTGCTGTATTGTTGTTTTATTCTTTAGCGATTCATGATTATGCTTTAATTACTTTTTCTCATAGAGCTATTCTTATTATATATCTATGCACGAAGTATAGAAAACTTGCATGGTTAAAAAGAAGGGCGCCGCCTACGTTGGGCACGATTTCCGCCTCATTTTTACAATGCGAGTGCTCTATCATGTATGTAGTTAATTAAACGCGTACTGCAGGAGCAAAAATCAGCATACGCACAGCTAAATGTAAATACGCACACGTATACTGATCATATCGCTATAGCAACCGATGACTGCTACAACAGTTGGTTATAAAAAACTAAAATTAAAAGACGACGATTGACTTATAAAGCAACTAGTAGAGCATGCATCGTACACTAAATGGAAAATTATTATACTTAGGTTAGTTTTAATGCATTCCAAAAATTTCCTTCGGGCCTTGCAGGCCCTCAGGAAATTTTTTCAAGCATTAAATCTAACCTTCGTGCAATAATTTTCCTATAGTGTACTATGCGGAGCTCTACTAATTTCTTATTAGAGAACATTATGGTAATAAATACATTTAAACCATTTGTTTCTAAAATATGGTTGATATGTGTAATGCTTTACCATTAGTATCTGAAATTTTCTGATGGTAAAATATCTGTTTGTCTCTTCACCAACATTTTGAACAGTAATATCACCATACACCAGTCCTTCATTTGCATTAGGCCAGTACTGTTCACATTTTATCTGCCAAAATAATACAATAAACATATTATACTAAGATTTGTTTAATTTAATCATATAATTTAAATTGGTTGAGTTTTGTTATGCACCAACCGGGCCGCAAGTCTATTAATGGAGCTCTCTAGGGCCAGGGGCCCTTTGGCCTCCGTGACCCCTCTAGGATCCCGGTCGTCTCCCAACCCCACCTTTAAATAATATAACCACTGGACACAATATGATAATACAGTATGTCCTACATTTCGTACAGTATCAAGAAAGCCCTTTTGGGTCAAGGTGCTAGATCGAGGTCCGATGATAGGGGCCCTTAAGGGGGCCACTAAAACCGGTTTTTCACTAGGCAAATTTATTCGTGTGAATCGAAGGCGTCGGTCCGTTTCCTGAGCTCTGATTGGTTGTGCACATTTTTCGCTTCGCAAAAGGTAGAAACAATTCGAACTACCAATTTAGCTGAAGCGAAAACTCCGCATTCACATTCCTACATACAATCATACATGGACACTTTTTTCAACAACAAATGACGATATTAAACTTCAATATGTATTAGGAGGAGATTCAGTTTTTATTTGTGATGAATCTACCTCTATTTTTGATAATTTCTGTTAAAAATACATCATGAATGCTTGGGAGAAACGCTCACAACTAAAAAATTCACAACAATAGTTTACTGTAAATGTATCGTTGCTTATCAAATTGTGTAATGTTAATTTTTTTTTTGTTTTTAGATTTTATATTTTGTAGGTTAGTTATTTTAGGCATTTACTTTACAGTTGACCTGTAAATATTTCTGAGTATGAAATGCGAAGTGAAATGTTATCTCATCTAATTCCATATATTATTTTTCTACCTTTCTTTAATTTTGTAATATTATTTACAGTCGATTGTTATTTATTTTGTTTGTTAAATGTTCCCCCTTTTTTTTTGTTTTTGTTTGTACGAACGCACCAATTGATATTGAGTGCCACCGATTCAAAGGTGTATGTTCAAATAAATAAATAAATAAATAAATTCCTATCGGAGTTTTTGCGAAGCGAAAAAAGTGCGCAACCAATCAGAGCTCAGGAAGCGAACCGACGCTTTGATTCGTGCAAATAAATTCGCCTAGTGGAAAACTAGCTTTATGCCACCGAAAAGGAGAGCTCCAAGCCTTGCTTATCTTTCTCCATTTTTTCGCGGTTTTAATGTAGGCCTATTTGTTGTGTATACTGTGGTGACTCCTTTTGATATGTTTTGGTATGTATTTTTTTTTGGTCAAGTTATATGCTGGCTATCCCCATTCACATCAACACAAACGAGACCAACTGTCTAACGAACGCGCCACCGTGCCTTCGTTTCGCCCCACATTCCACATACCTGGTACTGGTATTTGTAATGCATTGTAAAGCGTTTGTTTACCAACCAATTTGGTCAGCAAACCACGATCACTAAGGAATAAACTTGATGAATTCTTTATTACTTTAACTAAAAAAAAAACGTGGATATTGCTGTTATTTTCGAAACTTGGTCCAAGTCTACCGACTATGACTTTGCACAAATTGATGGATTCTCTTTGATTTCTAGACATAGAAAATACATGTCTTGTCTTGTGGAGGGGTAGCCATATTCAGTTGTGACAAAAAAAAATGTAATGCCAACATTCCGGATAATATTGAAATTAAATGGATAAGTGTAGGCCCACTAGGTTGCGTATTTTTCTCTTTTATTTATTGCAAAGGGTATATTGTACCTACTCAATTCCGTGGACTTTATCCAATCTGCTTACCCTTGCCCTGGCATTGTTATTGCAGGCGACTTCAATCGAATAGAATATCAAGAGTAAATCAATGGTTCAAATTGTCAAACATGCTAATCGAGGGTAGCAAAAGTAGCTTAGGGTAAAAATTTTGAAGTTTCAATTGCTTTAATAATATTCAATCGATTTTATGGTCTACTAATATATACAAAATACATTATTAATTGATTTCAAGGTCTCCTAATGTGTACAAAATACGTATAATTTTTTTTTTGTCCCCGACGAATTGTGGTTTTTCTCGCCCGACGAGGGGGAGGGGGCCTAGCTTCGACCTTTGAATAAGTAACTATATATTTTTAATATACAAGTATATGAATTGATAAATTAAAAACGACGTAATGGACAAATTAATTTTCAATACTGACAAATAATGTCAGAATGAGTTCTGGTGTTGATGTGATCAATGGAGTTTAGGTTTGCTTATTGTTCTTGATCTTGTCTGTATTTTTGTAATGACACTTTTGGATGTATTTAATATTTTTTCCTCAGGCAATGTAAATAATGTGCAATTTAGATCTGTCTACAACACGTTACACTGCCTTTTCTTTTCCTTTTTTTTAAAAAATAATATCGATATTGACATTTACTTTTATTATTTTTTTCTTATTGACTTATTTTTTATTTATTTTATTTATTTATATATATATATATTTTTTATTATACAATTTTTATCAGGAAAATACAAATCAATAAAACAATAAAAAAGCATAATTAAACCTATTCACAATATGTCAATTTCAACACTTCATTAAAACAACAATAAAAAACATCATTATCCCAAAATCGATAGCAAGTGTACATGTAAAAGTGGGGAAAAAAGATTAAAAATGTGTTTAAGAGTCAGAAATCAACAGGTTTAATAATAGTTAAAAGCTATTTTAAACAAGTAAGATTTTAGTTGTGTTTTAAAATTATTGGTAGATTTTGCACTACGAAGGTACTGTGGCAAGAAATTCCACAATTTTGGGGCAGCGATGGAAAAGGCCCTTTCATCATAAATCTTTGTACGAGCTGATGAGATAGTAAGTAGATCCTTTGTGGATGAACGGAGGGACCAGGATGGATTATAAGGGTTAACAAGTTCACAGATGTAAGATGGAGCCATACCAGCCTTAGCTTTGAATGTGAGGAGTAGTACCTTGTATTAAATCCTAAAGTGAACCGGTAGCCAGTGCAAATCAATAAGAATCGGTGTTATGTGTCATATTTTTATTTATTTATTTATTTTTTTAATTTTTTAAAATTTTTGATCTAGAGGTGTCATAATCATAAATTTTCTTTCCTCAGCCCCAACCATGGTGGGGCAGAGGTGATTTACTTTTTCAACGTGCAAGTCCCTCCCTGTCCCCCCTCTTATTTGCCTTCCTGGAGCCGCCACTGATAATGATAAATTAAGTAAATCACCTTTATGTTTGTGAAATCAAAATGCTAACTAATGTTTTGTGTGCTCCCTATCTCCCTAGTCCTGTTTGATCGTAAATTAGATGGTATTATTTCCATTCACAATAATTTATCGCAATATTACTTACACAAACATGAAATTCAAACAGAGGAGAAAAGTAAAAACCTCTTGATTGACTTTAAAAGTACTGTACATGCAAAAAGACTAAATTAATGACTGTTTTAAGTTTATCTTATTTGTTTTTCATAGTTCGAATTTTGAATACGTTACAAGCTAATCAGTAGATAATAAATCATTATTTTTATGAATGTTAGTTTGCACAAAATATATAAGCGGGCATAATTATGACTAAAAAGGATAATTTGAAAAACTTTTTATGAGTAGTATTTCAGTGGCAGACTCAAGGGGCCCAGCCGTCCCACCATCACTATTTTTTTTTTTCGAAATTTAAAAGTCGAGAAAAATAAAAATTATATTCAAATTCAGTCTGAGAGTGCCATTTCTGACCAACAGGAGATGCCATAATCATAAATTTTCTTACCTCAGCCCCAACCATGGTAGGGCTGAGGTGGTACGTAGTCCAGCTACACTCTCCATCTGTCAAAGTCCCTCTCTGGGCCCAGCTCTATTTCAAATTACTAGATCCACCACTGGATATTTTAAACATTTCGTATGGAAATAAATGTTAATTGCATTGCTTAAAATCAATTAAAAGGCTATATGCGCCAGAGCTTCCAGGGCTTCGCCCCCTGGTCCCCAACCATTGCTTTATTTTTCATCCCGTTTCCCCCCCCCCCTCCCCCCCCCCCCACTTTCAGCCATGGATCAACGCCCTTGTGCACGGCAGATGTTATTTACATGTGAACGCATATTTAAATGTTGATCAAAAGTGGCACCAAGGGTCCTAAGACATAATTTCAACTTGAGAATCGCCAGCAGTTAATTAAGGGATATCCCTCAGAAAAAACGTGACTTCACATGTAAAACAGCTATTTTGCTTTCATTGGATCCAGTTGACAAGATTTATTACTTGAGCACTTTATAACTTCATTCGGGGTCAGTTATTCAACTCTTATAAAATTGCTATGTCAGTTTTCGTCAAGGTCCACTGATAACTTCCGGGGCTCTGATATATGCAGAGCATGGCAAAGCTTATTTATTTTTTCATGAAAGAAATTGAAAAACCTGTTAGCTAGATCCTTGTTGTCTGTATGTGAAGGTAGTACTTGGGTTGGATTATATATTAACAGTTTTTCAACAATTCGAAAAAGCTGCCTTTGGTCACATTTAGCAATGGCTTCCTGGTGGTATTTTCTTTTTGCCATGGCAAGAGCTCGCTTGTATTCAGAACATAATTTATATACCGGTAGTTGATTTCTGTCAGAGGATAAGCCCGATTTCTTATATTTCCGTTCAGCAGATCGCTTATTACGCTTCTTGGCCTGAAGATACTGGTCAAGTATGGGCAAGTGGGCGAACAAGCATGGTATGTGAGACCATAGGGGCATGTCTGTTAATGAATTCAGAGAGATTTAATTTTTTTGTAAGTTCAGCTCTCGTTTAGGTGACATGATATCCGAAACGATGTGAGTATATCATTTTGGAATTCATCAATCAATTTCTTTCAGTTTTCTGAACTTAATTGTGCGTTGTGACGTTGAAGGTCGAATAAGAGTAACACTGAACTGAAGAGCGGCATGATCCGAGGGAAGACTGTTCGATACAGACACCTTACTGATGCAATTCTCTGTGTCACTTGTGATAAAAGGTCTAAAATGTGGCCTTTAATGTGTGTTGGTTCATTTATTAGAACTAAACCTGCAGAATATAGCATATCGTAAAAAAGGGTAATATTAAGCAGAAAAAGAAGGGGACCAAGTACACTTCCTTGGGGAACACCACATTGAGGTTCAGTGTCTTTAGAAAATGAATCAGAAATGGCAACTCTTCTTTTTTTTTTGTCCTACTGCACGACGAGTTCTGGCCGGGGGGGGGGGGGAGGGAATGGGCTTGACCTGTCCTATGGGGGAGTGATTTTAACAGGTGGAAGATGAAGACCATCTCAGTCCCAAAAAACAGCAAAGAACAAGCACTAAAAAACATGAAATTGGAACACCCTAAAAGTAAACATATGGATCACCTGGTTCAAGCCCGTACGGTTGTTATCTGTCTCCCTCTTTTTCTTTCCTCTCTTTTTCTGCGATCCTTATGCATAATTAGGCGCACGGCAGTGGCGTAGCTACGCCAGTGCAAAGCACTGGGGCCCAGGGCTATTAGGGCCCATTCATAAATAGACCTAAAAATAACTTCCAACTTAATATTTTATAGAAAAAAATGGCCAGATGGCTCCTCAATTATATTCGGTTTTTGAAGGAATAATTATTAATTACTGTGTTGATTTCAATTCAGTGGTGTATTCAATGATGCCCCAGCTGGCCCGGTCCCTACTTATTTTTTCAAAATTTAGGGAAAAATGAAATTATTAAAATTTAAGCCTGAGCATGCCTTTTCCGAATCATAAATCATAAATTGTTTTACCTCAGCCCCAACCATGGTGGGGCTGAGATGGCCTTCATCTTCAACTTGCTAAAATCACTCCCTGACACCCATAGTGATTAAAATAATTTGGTTTTTATCGAAGGTAAATTTAGCTAGGGCCTAGTCTACTACTATTCCGGTAGACCACGACGCTGCACAATTCAACGATCTAAAAACTACAAAAACACGACAGAAAGGTCCATAAAGTATACAGACGTTTTAATAAGAATTAGCACAATATTTTATTAAATGGGAGAATGCTAGCGATTAAAATAATTTGGTTTTTATCGAAGGTAAATTTAGCTAGGGCCTAGTCTACTACTATTCCGGTAGACCACGATGCTGCACAATTCAACGATCTAAAAACTACAAAAACACGACAGAAAGGTCCATAAAGTATACAGACGTTTTAATAAGAATTAACACAATATTTTATTAAATGGGAGAATGCTAGCGATTAAAATAATTTGGTTTTCATCAAAGGTAAATTTAGCTAGGGCCTAGTCTACTATTATTGCGGTATACCACAATGCTGCACTGTTGGTTGGTTCATACTACTGCACTACTATTACGGTACTATAGTTGACCTGGTCGCTGTCAACCTATATATATA